TAGAAACTATCATCCCAATGGTAAATACTACAGAGAGATTCTCAAACTTTCAGAAACAAAAGTAGCTTGAGCTCACATAAATGGAGTTCCCTAAATAACCCAAAATTATCAGAGATGACTCAGAATTTATCATTTATTAATGTACAACAATTCTGTATTTCAATTGCAATGATGAATGATAGTAATGTCGGACGAAAACATCACCCAACAGAACTGCATAGCCTTTTTTTTTCTTTCTGGTAAGCTAATTTTCAGGTGATTGATGGTCTCATTTCCAAGAAAAAGACAAAAAGAGAGCAACAAAAATGGCATGGTTCAAAGTGCTTCAAAATTTTCAGTTGCTAGATCCAAAACAGTGACAACAACAGTGACCTTCACATTTGGTGGCCAACCTTGGCTACATAATGGAGCCAATAGAACTGAGACGGTCCAATAGCCAGAAAAATGAAGTTTGTTACTCCATCCGTTTCAATTTGTTTGGCTTACTTTCCTTTCTAGTCCGTTTCAAAAAGAAAGGCAACTCTTTAATTCTAACTTTCCACATGACATTGTTTAAGATAATGAGATTAAAGGGCATTTTGGTACATTCTACATATCTTTATTTATGACACGAGACTCAAAACTCTTCTTCACTTTCTTAAACTTCGTGTCAAGTCAAAAACAGACAAACTAATTAAAACAGGGAGTATATATTTTCAATTTTTTAATTGTTCAGCAATCTCTTGTCCATTTAGTCCTTAATCTAGCAAATGAAACAATGCAGACCTTGGGGCTAGGTTGAAGATTTAAGAGATTTAACTTTACCATCCATGATATGATTAGCAGGAAATATCTTCATCTGTGACGGATAATAATCATTGAGGCACCAAAAGTCTTTTGGTAATATGATTTGTACTCCTCTTGCCTTTGCAGCCTCAACTAGCACATGGGCTGCCTCTAGTGATTCTTGTTCCACCAATTCCATAGGAACAGGTAATCCAAAAGCATGCATTATTTGAAATGCAGCATCGCCAACAAACACTAGGCCGTCACATCTAGATGCCAAAAATAGCAAGGCTGCTGTTTTCCCAGCGAGATTACCACCGACCTGCATTGCATCTTAAATTATCACTTGCAATATATGAACCAAAAAAGCCCTGTTCTCATTTTAATCAAGAACCTGAAAAATACTTAGAAAAAGATTCTCGGATGCATACTATTGCAAAATAGGGCCTCTTGTTCATCTCGATTATCTTCTTCAGTTGAGACATTTGCTCGTCAAAGTGAAATCCAGCAATGGACGCATAGCAGAAGCCGGTAATACCAACATTTGATGCAAGAATCTTATGTGATTGAAAAAATGTATCATTAACAAAGATATCCACGCCAGATGATAGGCGTCGTGAAAACTCTGAACTATTGGCTTGCTCCTGCTTAAAGTGAGAAAGGTTCTCAAGAAGAAGGATGTCAGATTTATGTCTGTCTTCCATCAGGGACTGCTCAAATCCAGAACCAAACTCCACTGGTATGACTTTTTGTTCAAGTTCTGACGATAGAAATTCTGAAGAATACATTAGCTAGATCAATTGAACTCCATTTAAAACAAGTTTTGTGAACATTAAAAAAAGAAGAAGAAGAAGTGTATCAAAACAGGCCCTTCATCCTTGCCTAGAATATTGTGCCTACATAGGGTTTTCATACTTTGGGAGGCTAAGCCTAAGTTCACAGCAGTGTTCTCGAAGGTGCTTTTAAGTCCTGAAGCGAGGCTCAAAACATGTTGAGCGAATGAGCGCTCCACCTCGCTTAATGTGCACTTCAATGTCATCAAGGCTCTAAGACAAACATTCCTTACAAATGAGCGTTTCATGAAGAGGCGACACTAAACAATTGATATTTCATTTTATCATAAAAAAAATCATTTTCTTAGTCCATATATTTGTTATTCATGCTTATAGTCTTGGACTAAACATGCAAAATTGTATATTTTTTCTGCATTTGTGCCTCTTCTAATTTAAGCCCACACTTGTTGCGCTTAAGCACCAACGGACCTTAAAGCTTTTTTTCGCATTTCGATTTTGATAACACTGGTTCACAGATGGGGAAAAGCAGCATGAAAACTTAGTGAAAAGTAAGAAATTTATAAACCTGCAACATATTCCAATTTGAGAAGCTGCAAGCCAGCTCTCACACTCCAGTTACTGATTAGAATTAACTTTGCTCCAGCTTTGTGTAGATACTTGATGGTTGAAATTATACAAGCTGCTGGAGACTGCTGTTTCTTGTGCTCCCTTAGCAGGATGGTCAAATCCAATCTGACCATGGCAACTTTTCCAATTAGCTCCTCCTCCGGGAAGTTTCTTAGAGTTTGCACGTGAGGTAAGATATCGGAATCTCTCCCATCACAAGCTTCAGCCTAAAAGTGGATTCTTGTCTGAGTAAGAAGAACAGACAGCACACTGAATATGGCACATGAAAAAACAACAAATATTGTCACGTATGACACAAGCTATAGAAAACTGGATTTTCGGCCCAATGTTCAGTAACATGTTTTCCTTTCTAGGATGTGAAATTATTTGAACAGAAACAAGAATAGACAGGCCAGTTAAAAACACGTTGAATTCCAGCAAACAAATACTTTTATTCACAAACTACAACTAAAATAATATGCATGACAAACTAACTTAATCTCCATGTTCATTCAAACGTGTACCACACCACATGAAGTGGTCGAAAGGAGCACTTTGGTACATCAATACTTTCCTAGTTTTTTGCTGATAACACTACTCAAACTAAGAGGTCAAGTTTTAATCATTGTAGAGAACTACAGCATGTGCCATACAAAAATGACTTCTTTTATCACTGCGTGTGAAATAGGCCCACTTCTCTATCCTTCTCCACTTGAATACTCGACTTGGTTCAACAGCTCTCGTGACGTGTGTGGAGTACCTTAGCCATTGAACCAAAACCTTGCAGCTGCTGACTACAAGTGACTTAAATCTTAATAATACGACCGGAAAACAACAACAACTATCCAGGTACTTACAGTAAAACCAAATTATCCAGAGACTTCAATTCTTTTAACATTCGTAATAAAAAAGATTTAAGCATCTAAAATGTAACCTAAGGTCAGGGATCAGATTCACTTACTGACAATTTTTCGTTGATAAGATGCAAGACCTTTTGAGACTTTGGAGTAATAATTTCAACCAACAACAGTTGTTATATACAATACTCCACAATGATTGATTAGGAGATACTGAGACACTTACTAATAATTAATACGCAACTCCGTGATTTCCAATAGATTTGGTTCTAATTTGAGATTCTTTAACAATAGCAAATACATATTGCATCAGTAAATACTGCTATTTACCTATACCTACTTCATTCATGAAAGCCAATACTTTTATTGGTTATATCAAGAAGAGAAATGTCATTTAATTCAATTGAATATGATGCACAGAAGTACAGTTAACACATATAGAAATAGAATAATCAAAGTTGAAACATTAAATTAGGGATAAAAGAGAACGATAAGCGAATTCAGATTACTAGTTAGCAAAAAAATATGTGCATTATATGTCTGTTTATTGGATATGGCGCATTGTTTGACTCTTGGGGATTCAGAGCACAAGAGACATAAACACGGACAGAGCTAGGCAGCACAAATTTTGTCGGAAAATTACACTACATGGTCAAAATTATTTTTTCTTGGCTTCTTCGTATGTTTACTTTTCTATAATTGTAACTCCTTTAGTGAAAATACCGACTCCGCCATTGGTAAAAACATCATTTGATAGGTAATGCAGCAGTTAGGGGTATGTACCTATAATAACTTAGATAAGTCGAGTATTACCTCCTCTCGAAATGAATGCAGATCAGCATGATCAGCCAGCTCCAAATTTAAACCTGGAAAAAGCAAACCAAATCGAGAACACAGTTAATAACAGCAAGATAACAAGATTTTGGACTTTATTTGTTCTATCACTTGGTACATCAAGTTTTGGTACTAACCTTGTCGTAAAAATCGAATCTTTTTACATTTTTGAACTACAGAACATTTCCCATACGATAAACGCAGTCTAATTTGCTGCAAATCTTGATATTTTGTACAACCATTGTGGAAATTTGATATTCTAGGTAAAGAGTATCCTAAGAAGAATTCCAGAACATAACTCATCCTTTTGTTCTTTCACTATGAATCAAACTTTGAACTACAGTCTGCAAGAAAAATACCAAATTTTTTATAGGAACAATAAACAAAAATTACGAAGAATCTTAGTAGCTTAATTGATTGAATATCTAAATTCTCCCTTCCTGGTTTCCCCTTTCCTACCCCCAATTTATTTTGAATAACAAAAATAAAAACTACTCATGAAAAACACAGTATCTAATATAGTAATTATATCAATACAACTAAAAAATGATGCAAAAATTAGCAAATTACTTACCTGAAATGGCTAACAAGAGTGACAAGTTGAATGAAGATAAAATGTCTAGAGACAATATATATATATATATATATATATATATATATTTTATTATATAGTTTTAAGAAAAGAAATTTGCATTGATGTCCCTCTCTAGTTTGAGACAATACATATACATCCCTTCAAGAATTAAGAGTTACAGAATCCTCCCTCAAATTAAGCTCTGGTATAAATAATAAGAATATTTAATGTAGTACTATTACTCTCGTATAGTTTATATGATATTGTTCAGGTTTCAATAGTCAAATAATTTAATTTTGATCGTGCATTCGAATATAATTTTTTTAAATAAAATTTAATATTTAAAAAAATATATGAAAAAATTAGGGATCAAACAAAAAAAAAGAAATTGAATCTCGAAATCTTTGGACTAAATATAACGTCGGGTAAGTACCCGACCCGAATAGAAATACGGATCTACGCTGCTAAATCTTCAAAGTACAACCAGCTAAAGCAGATTTAGCTCACTTTTACTTGATCTCCGCCGTCAAAAATCTTCTTCGCCGGCCGCCGATCTATTCTCCGACCAAGATGGGTGCCGGTTTCCTCGTTGGCGTCATCGGCGTTCTAATTCTATCTCATGCTACCTATTCCACAATCCAATGTAATCCCCTTAGGTTTTTATTCCCTTTTTACCTTTTTTTTTGCTGCATCAGTTTGAAGAATAAATTTTTTTGTTCAATTTCAGATAGGGCTTTGCTCAAGATTACTGAGGAGGAGTTTTCTGGACCACCCATTGATGTAAATTTTCATTTTTCACCTTTTTTGTTGAATCTGCTGAGTTATTGTAGTTGATAAGAAGTTGATTTTTTTTATATGTATGTGATGTGGTAATGATTGATCTCTTCTTAATTGTTTGTTGTTCAATCAAGAAGTAAATGTTTGTTGTTCAATTTTGTTATTTGCTGTTGCTGTTGTATTGACTTTACATACTTTATTTTTTATATGTTTGCTCGAGCTTAAGGTTTATCGAAAATAGTCTGACCCCACTTGTGGGATTATACTGGGTATGTTGTTGTTGTTGTGATGTGGTAATGATTATTCTCTTTTTAATTGTTTTGTTGGTCAATCGTGTTGTTTGTTGTCGCTACTTGTTCTCTTCTTAATTATTTTCAACATGGCTTCTTCGCTACTGTATTTGCTTTACATGTTTGATTTTTGATATGATTGCTTGAGCCGAAGGAGTATTGGAAACAACCTCTCTACCTTCATAGTGTAGGGGTAAGGTTGTGTACACATCACCCTTCCTTGGCCCCACTTGTGGGATTATAGTGGGTATGTTGTTGTTGTTGTTGTGATGTGGTAATGATTGATCTAAAGTATTGGGTAATGTGCAGGTTGTTATCGAATTGATAGTTAGTTTAGCGTTATGCTTGTGGGCTGCAATGGCTGCCCCTGGAAATTTCAAGTCAATCCATCCTCAATCTGAGGAAAACAGGTACTTATTCATTCTTTTTAATTGGGGTTCTTGTATTTTTATTGTTTTTTCTTTGTTTTGCAGTAATGGAAAATTAATTTTGGATTTCTAGGGATTTGTAGGAATATAGATCGTTGGTGTAAATCCACAGTTATGGGAAGATCTATTTTCACTATCTCACAGTGGTCAATGTTCCCTTGCTCATATCCTCTATGTGTTATACTGTTATATATATTTTGTTCTTCTTAAGCACTCACAAATGACTTCTTCTGGCACTTTATCAGTTTCTTTCTCTAAGTTAATGAACAACTAGGGCTTACCTCGTGGACAAAGTGCCCCTCGGCTAGTTTAGAGGTAGCGCTAGGCCAATGACTATCATGTGGAAATCCTCCTCCTGTTCCAATATATTTTTATCAATTTTGTAATTTGTTTTAGCAAAAATATAACCTCTATAAATTTCCATCACTTTTCTTGCATATAGCCTCCTTTGTAGTCTAACATGTTCTCTGTCACCCTTGTAATATCCCTAAATGTCTACTTTATCATCCTTTTCTCGAAGTTCAGACAACGTTGAATATCACTTTCATTTTTATGTATCAGAACTAAGAAAATCTTTCTCTACTCATTTCGCGTCTTTCTTTGTAATTGTTGCGCTACTGCAAGCAAAATTTCATAGCTTGGTGAGTTATACCATTCCGACTTCTTTAAGGCACTTCCAATCCTTTACAAGGATACCTTAACTATAATGGACACAATGCTTAGAGTGAGCTAATGTTTCTTTTGGTCATGGATGTGAATCTTTAAAGTTATCCTTGACTTCTCTGTTGTTGATAATTTCCATTTTATTACATAGCCTTGCCCTGCACCATTCCTGTGTCAGAATAACTGTGGTTAATGCTTAGACTTTTAGATATAGTTAGATGCTACATTCCAATGCAACTTCTCATTTTCTTCCACTGGATAACTGTGTTAGCTTCTAACTCTGATGCTCCCTTCTTTAAGCACTTGTCTTTAAATGTGCTTTGGTTTGACTGTTTAGTATCCACCACAGAATCGTTGTGCTTGCAGCTCTTCTTCTTTTGTCGTGCCTGCCGCTTCATATCTAGCGTCACCCGCCTATTTTGGGTGGTTAAAGCTTCTCCCGGTGACCTATTACTATTTGTGGCCTGCACATTTTCTTTTAGTAGAAATGAAGTCTATTTGACCTTACCTACTTTTAATTGTTATCAAGTGCAGTTCCCCTTTTTTTTCAGAGAAGAAGTATAAGTTTAGTTGGTTGTTGACCAACCTTTGTTCCTTCAGGTGCAAGTGTTAACTAAAACTAAACATAAGTTAGGGAAACCTGTAAATAACATTGTCATTTTCATTTCTAGTACCACGTTAATTTTTTTGTTCATATAATTATGGTGCCCGGGCAAGTTTACGCGTATCTTAACTGTTCCACAGAGTACCTGCCTCCCACAGACAGAGATACCGGGTAACTCTTTGTTACTACAACCATATCTCCATGTACTCTTGTCAACAGTCAACACCATGATCTCTCCTATCAGATTTCCCCTAATAAAGATATGTTGATCATTTTTTATCCTTGGACATACCTATATCTTTCCAAAATTTAGTATTTGTCTCCTTCTAATCTAGTTTTCGAAGTATAGAAAATTTGGTTTCAGTTTTGAATATAGACACTAAAGACTAGTGATGTTGATTCTTTACTTTACCACACTGGTTTTAATTTGATAATCCTACCATTACTTTACTCTATGTCTACAAACTTTATTTTTTGAATTATCGTTTCTCAATGTGTTTTTCCCGTTCCTACTTATATCTACCTAGGAATACCGCAAATTATGACTTCTGCTATTGATCCCTCAACTTTTTTCCATGTCCACTTAGCTTAGTTCAGCTAAGCCTCAACAGATCACCTCATTAGAAAGACATGTATTTTCTTTTTTATTTAGGATTTTTTTTTAATTTACCTAGTTTCTTGTGAATACCAGACACATGAAGAAAAGTAGAGTGGAGAGGGGCAGAGGAATGTCTGGTCACCTTGGTATTTGAAATTGGAATCGTGGGGTTGGCTTTGGGTGATGGGTACCATTTGTTCAACGTCTTTGTGGTTGTAGGGCATCTATAATATTATTTTACTAGAGTGCTGAATAACAACTTCAGTGAAAGCTTTTATGTGCTTTTCCTTGTTTCACCTGATTTTAGAGTTACATCACCGTCCTTCAAATTCTCGGTAACAGTCTAGATTATGGGTATCTTTTAGGGAATTTTCTGAAGGAGAAAAGTGATAGTTAAGTTGATAGGTCCCTGGCAAGCAAGTACTCCTGCTTTCTGTTGTATTTTTTGTTGCTAAAGCTCATTTAAAGAATTGTGTGAAAGCACATTCGTTGTTCTGGTGTTTTAACTTCATGTATAGCCAAGTGAGAATTGGTAGCAGAAGTCGGTTCATTTGCTCTTAATGTATATGCAATCGCCTTTTTTGGGTATCTTACATATCTCTACAATGCAGGGTGGTCGCTTTGCCTGCCAATCTGGATTTTATGATCTTTAATCACCGTGGGAAGATATTTCCTCTGGAAACCGAGTTGAAGTTGAAGTGATGGTCTGGATTAATTTAGCATTCATGAACTCAACAAACTGCCACCCTCCAGACCAGCCCCATCTTTCGCGACTGTTCTTGGAGAGGATTGTTTTAGACAGTTTTCCTATTACACTAATTCAATTACTCGAGCATTACTAGTCGACCTGTGGAATGTTAATTGTTAGAGAGCAAACGGAAAGAAAAGACACTCAGTTTGCACATTTTCATTTTTGCTTGCTTAAATTTTAGTTTTGTATGTTAAGACTCGAATTTTCAGAACATATCCCATAGTGTCTATTAGCATTTATTCTCTATCTATGCAAACATGAACCTGTTGTTTGAAAACGATTTTTTTGCAGTGCAGCTGTGAAATTTCTGTTTAGACATCTCTAATGCAGGACATGTATGACCCCGCAAGTGGGATTTGAGAAGGGTGGTGTGTACGCAGGATATATATGGCATCCGTTGTTCATAATTTCAAATTTGTGCCTTATTTTGGTTGAATGAAGGAAACAATCTCTTTCTCCCCAATTTTATCATATAAAAACAATCCATATAAACTGATTTTTTTTTCGTGTATAACCAGCATGGTCTATTATCCATTAGAAAACTTGGATTACTGCAGAATACATATTTCAAGGGATAATTTCAAGATCCTATGGATAAAATAAATGCCTTGAGTTTCATAAATAAGCTAAAATGAAGTCCTAAGCAAAAAAGACCCTTCTTCAAATTTGACTTCTTGCCTATGTACAAGCCAATATTGTCAACAGGACATTGCAAGAACTTAAATTAAAGCTTCGTACTTATTTATTATATGAGATGGACATAATAGTTAGGCTGTGGCTTGTTTACTAGCCATGTAAGGTGCTCATATAGCTTGAGTCTACTGTTAGGGACTGTTTGGATTGGCTTTTGGCTTATTTTTGTTATTTTGGCTTTAAAATAAGTGCTTATAAGCACTTTTTAACTCTACCCAAACACTTCAAAACTGCTTAAAAACTATTTTGGCATAAAAGCACCTAAAATAAGCCAATCCAAACGGGCACTTAGTCCCTTACCACACTCACAAATAACAACTACCAATTTGTATGAAATGAAGAAAAAAAATGTAAAGGGGGCCAATAATTTAGTCCTTTTCCTAGTTAAGAGAAAACAAAACAAACACGATTGACATTTCTCATCAATTGTCATGCTTCATCCATCGACCCCACTTCTTCCAAACTTCTGCATTAAAGACTGAATAATGAAAAATTGACAGCCACCAAAGCAAATAAATGCATGATCAACACCACCATTATTCAAAAACTTGTGTTCCTACTCTTTTCCTCCTTTTCTTTTGTGTAATCTTTATCTTTGCGAGTATGTGTTTTTCTTCTTCTTTTTTGGGAGGGGGAGGGGGGAGTGAGCAGGGGGAGTATAGAAGGAGAAACTTCATTTGCAAAAGGAAAAAAATTCTCACTGAAATAGATTCATTGGAGAATGAACAATGACTAACCTCAAAAAAATGCTCTACGTTACTACATCTCGACATCCAAACAGACTCTGTGACATCCACAGAAGAATTACAGTATGACTTGACTTTTATCTAAACCTAATCAATTGCTGCTGTTTTGAAAAGGGTACTGAACTACCCCATCAAGCTAACCAACTAATTTACAACTGGGTTAACTCCTGCTGATTTTCCCTAGATTGTCTCAGTATTAACTCAGCTCTCCTCTTCTTGTCATCTCTATCTTCATCCCGCCGGAACAAGGAAGCGTTTCTCCCAGAACCCTTTTTCCAAAGCCTTAGATCCAAAGAATCACCTAAGGCCTTCTTTCCAGGTCTAAACTCTAAACAGACAGCAGGCCTCTTGTCCGGAAGTGTTTTCTCTGTACCATTTACTGTTTCAGAAAGCCCATCCTTCATTGCCTGAATTGCTGGGGAGAATGTCTCCAGCAAAGAAACGTGATTTTTATCATCTACCTCACTAGAAAGTTTAGTTGGAAGAGCCACTGGGTCCACATCTTTCTCACCAGCTTGAAAAGGTTTTGCAAGAAAAGGGTTTTCACTTTTACTAGCACTTGAAGTGATGCCAACATCATCTGGCTGCCTAGAAGTTGATCCCACTGCTGAACCATTGCACACCAATCGCTGTTGTAAATTTAATAAAGATCTTTCTGCCTTCCTTCGCTGTCTTGCTAATTCAATTTTATCAGCTCGAGGATCCGATGCCCTCTCATTCCACGTGGGGGTCCGTACATAAGTATGCGGATCAGGAAATGCAGGCAACCATGGAGGTATGTGCTTAAATGGCGGTGTTTCACCAATTTGTAAAAAACTGGGTATCAAATTGGGATGTTTTACCACAGGAAAATGTGGAAGAGGTTGAGAAAATGGTATCTCTTCAGCAGATTCCACATACTCAACCATCTCGCTAACAATACCAGAACTTAACCCACAGCGGTTCACTTCCGATGCTCGCAGAAAACCAGTGGAGGCACACATATCCTCTAATCCATGAATAATATCAAACACATTGCACTGTGTTCTTCCAGCTAAATTAGCACTACTACTAGCAGTCTTCCCTAGGTCAAGTATATACTTAATTGCAATGTCTGCAAGTGATTCAAGAGCAGATTCATTGAAGATCTCAAACCCAATACTTTCACATATCTGTGCCACTGCAGTCCTCGATATTGCTCGCCCAAAATCATCTGTACCAGCTCTTTCTTCCCTAGTATTATCAACAGTACTCTCTTTCTCCCTTTTATCCTCGGCATTACCTCCAATGATCATATTCAAATTCCTAAAAGATTTACAGCTTCTTCTACTCAAAAACCTCACCACTCAGCTCAAACTTGTGCCTTTAACAGGAAAAGTTCACAACTTGGTAACATAACAAAAAACTCCACAACTCAAATATGCAGTTCAAGATCCCAACACTCATTTGCAATTCATGATGACCCTATGCATTTTAGCTGCATTAAGGAGTAAAAGCACAACCCAATTGCCCAAAATACAAGTAGACATGAATTACTAAACTCTTGGCTTTTCCTAAAATGGAAAAAAAAATCACAACTTGTGATGTAAAATGACAACCCCAGAACCCAAAACTCAACCAAAATCTTCAACAAAATCAAAGACAAACCTCAATATTCCTCCACCCCACTTGGTAAACTCGTGTCTTTTCCCAGAAACAAAAAAAAAATCACAACTTGGGCGATGTAAAATGCAAACCCCAGAACCCAAAACTCAACCAAATTCTTCAACAAAATCAAATACAAACCTCAATATTCCTCCACCCCACTTGGTAAACTCCTGTCTTTTCCCAAAACATAACAAAAGTCACAACTTTGTGACACAAAATGTGAACCCAAGAACCCAAAACTCAACCAAATTCTTCAACAAAATCAAATACAAACATCAATATTCCTCCACCCCACTTTGTAAACTCATGTCTCTTCCCAAAAACAAAACAAAAATCACAACTTTGTGATGTAAAATGCGAACCCCAGAACCCAAAACTCAACCAAATTCTTCAACAAAACCAAGAACCCACCTCAAGATTCCTCAACCCCACTTGATAATTCATAAAACCTTTACTATTAAGCTACATTAACAAGAAAAACTACAACACCAAATGCCCCAAATATACAACCAAAATGTATGAAAATGAGTACTTACAGCTGATTTTTGAGACTAATTCAACTTGGGGTACCGAATTCTTGATTTGTAAATTGAAATTGCTTCAAAATTGAGAGAGCTTAAAAGGGTTTATGGAGGATTTTTTTGATAAACCCTAAACGGTAAACACCAAGAAAGGGATTTTTAGATCGAGAGAGTGGAGGATCGAATACTGGAGCGGGACCTTTTTTTTATAGAAAAGATTACATTCTAATAATAGCATATAAGCCCATGTAGTTTAGAAAACTCACATTTGATCCATATAGCTTTTATTTTATTTTTTTCTTGAAAATATTTTTAAAAGTGTGTTTAAATAAGTGATTAGACAAGAAATGATTTATCTTCAGTTTATTTTATCGATGATATGACTCTTAATAAGAGGACATGGAGGCTGAACATTATGGTAAAAAATTAGTTGGTAGTTAGAACGTTATCTAGTTTCCTTTTATCAATATTGTTGTTATTACATTTCTATTATCTATTGTTCAGATTTATTATTATTATCTGTTGTTTCGATTAACATAATATTTATTATTTCTATTGTTTTTAGCATGTTATTTATTAATATATTTATTTTTCATATTTGATTTTATTATGTTTTAATTGAGCCGAAAGTTCAGCGAAAATAGTTTCTACTTTCATAAGATAGAATAAGATTGTGTACACGTCGTTCTCTTCAAATGTTACTTGTAAGATTACACTGAATATATTATTATTACTAAAAGCTTTTTAAGTTCAAACATAACTTGGGTAATAACCAATTTAACATCCAAATGCATTTTCTTACAAATAAATATCAAGTGAAAATTTTATCATCCATTTACTTCATCATTCTTGAGTGATTTATTTTGACTTCTTAGGGAAAAAGTTGTAAACATCATTAAATATAAATATAAATATAATAGAGATTACAAAACTATAAATTTAAGAGGAAATATTTTATATTACATATATGAATATGTGAAATTTATACATAATTCAAGTAGTTGATTTGTAATTTCTCTATATTTGCATAATTTCATATTGATGTTTTTTCTTTCATTACAGCCAATTAAGTTCCTTCTGTATATCATTCTTTCTTTTAATGCAATATATAGTTAATAATCCAAAAACACATATAAACAATTAGTTTTTTTCCTAATTAGTTTCATATTTTAAGCGGCTCATTATTTTCTTTATTTACTTAAACTATCACTATTTTTATATTAAAACATATTTTAATATTGAGTTGGCCAAATATTTATTCTCATTAGACAACAAGCCTTTGTAAACCAACCCAACATCAAGATATGCTTTATTACAAAGTAAATTTCATAATCGAGGCATAAAATTCGCGAAAAACCAATAGTTTAAGGTAGGTAAATAGAATAATAGACAGTTAAAATATGATTCTTACAAAAAAAAAAAACTTAGGTATATATTTTATTACCGTTTACTCAATGTAACATGACTGGTTATTGGTTAACATTTAACAACAATCATAAATAGAACATTAGTAACAAACTTTCACATTTCTTAAAATTAACCGATAAAAATTATGGTAAAATGGCAAGTGTTCTTTCGACCTTAATTTGAGATTTTGAGTTCGAATCCTGGTATAGAGACATTTTTTAGAAGTATTTTACCTCAATGTTGGGTTCTTGGTTCGAACTCTAGGTACAACACTTTTATTTAAGCAACATGTGAGGTCTCGAGTTCGAATCCTACACATAAAACATCATTATTAAAAAAAAAATTGACCATCTTTTGAATTTAAACAAATTCTCGTCATTATTAGAAAATATTTTACCATAATTTGAATTTAAACAGACTCCAATGTGATACCCGATAGTATGAGAAGTTCAAGGGGGTAAAATGTGAAACTCCAAAAAGTTAAGAGCACATACATAAATATAATTCTTCCTTTGGCACACAATATTGGGATAAGCCAAAAGAGAAAACTCCTAGCGTTTGAGAAGAAGAAGAAAATGGAGAAGTACTTTGGAAACGCATACAGGGGCGACCCGGGAGTGCCACACGCCGACCCGGAACGATTCGTGAATATATGGATCGGGTCTGCTGCTTTCTCTGCTCTTACATGGATCAATCCCTACATGTGGACTCTTTCCAATCAATACAAGTAAAACCTGCAAAACTCACTTTCACTTCCTTTTTTGCAACAATGTTTTGTTGTTTTTCATATTTGTTGTTAATTTGATAAAGGGGTTGTCTTTATTTGGCTAAATTCCTGTAGTGTGTTTGTAAGTTTGAGGAGTAGAATTGAGTTATGGTGTCTGTGGTGCAAAGAGCTATTAAAGCAAGAGAGGGAGAGAGCTGTAAAGGGGTTGTCTTTATTTGGCTCAATTCTTGTTCTATATACTTTTGCTTACAATTTTTCTTTTCATATTTGTTGTTAATTTGATAAAGGGGTTATCTTTATTTGGCTAAATTCTTGTTCTATATAGTGTGCTTGTAGTTTTGAGGAGTGGTCTCAACTTGTGGTGTTGGTGGTGCAAAGAGCTATTAAATCAAGAGAAAGTGAGAGAGAGTGGTAAAGGGGTTATCAAATAGTTGGCTCAATTCTTGTTCTATATAGTGTGCTTGTAGTTTTGAGGAGTAGTATCGACTTATGGTGTTTGTGGTGCAAAGAGCTATTAAAGCAAGAGAGTGTGGTAAAAGGATTATCTTTATTTGGCTCTATTCATGTTCTATTATTGTGCTTGTAGTTTTGACGAGTGGTATCAACTTGTGGTGTTGGTGGTGCAAAGAGTTATTCAAGCAAGGGAAAGAGAGAGAGTGTGTGTGGTAAAGGGGTTATCTTTAATTTTCTCAATTCTGGTTCTATATGGTGTGCTTGTAGTTTTGAGGAGTGGTATCAACTTGTGGTGTTGGTGGTGCAAAGAGCTATTACAGCAAGAGAAAGTGACAGAGAGTGGTAAAGGGGTTATCTTTATTTGGCTCAATTCTTGTTCTATATAGTGTGCTTATAGTTTTAGAGGAGTAGTATTGACTTATGATGTTTGTGGTGCAAAGAGCTATTACAGCAAGAGAAAGTGACAGAGAGTGGTAAAGGGGTTATCTTTATTTGGCTCAATTCTTGTTCTATATAGTGTGCTTATAGTTTTAGAGGAGTAGTATTGACTTATGATGTTTGTGGTGCAAAGAGCTATCGAAGCAAGAGAAATTGTGGTAAGGGGTTATCTTCATTTGGCTCGATTCTTGTTCTATATAGTTTGCTTGTAGTTGAGGAGTGGTATCAACTTCTGGTGTTGGTGAAAGAGAGAGAGAGAGAGAGTGTGTGGTAAAGGGGTTTTATCTATTTAGCTAAATTCTTGTTCTATATAGTGTCTGTAGTTTTAAGGAGTAGTATCGACTTGTTGTATTGGTGGTGCAAAGAGCTATTAAAGCAAGAGAAAGAGAGTGTGTGATAAAGGATTATCTTTATTCGGCTCAATTCTTGTTCTATATAGTGTGCTTGACTGCTTGTAGTCTTGAGGAGTGGTATCAATTCTTGGTGTTGGTGATGCAAAGAGCTATTAAAGCAAGAGTAAGGGAGAGAGTGTGGTAAAGGGGTTATCTTTATTTGGCTCAATTCTTGTTCTATGCAGTGTGCTTGTAGTTTCGAGGTGTGGTATCGACATATGGTGTTGGTCCACTTTTGTTGCATTTAAAGTAGGTATGGTGCTTGTTAGGAGTCTTTGTAGTTTGGTTAGGAACTTGTACATCTCTTTGGGGATGAGTTAAACGTTTCTACTTTTAGTTGGTATTGTTGCCTCTAGTTTTAGAGAACTTCTACTTTGCTGTAAATGACTAATTACTTGGTAGTGGAATCAAATAAGTCCGAATAGAACATAACTGGCAGAAAGGATTCATGTAGCCACCAACAACTAGTTTTGGATAAAGACAGTGGTTTATCAAATTATGATGTTAAGAATTGAAGTAGAGTTGAAGTCCATTTGACATTGTAAAACCACAAGGGAGGTCTTTTTCCACCTTGCAAGTTCCCTTTTCTTTTTGGGTGGACAAGTAATTAACCTTCAAAGCTGTTCTTGATCTTTATCATGATAAAGTAAAGGCAGTTCTTGATGTGATAATGATTGAGTTAAGGGCTGTTGAATTTACACTGCCAGTTTCTCTTTACAGTTTAGAGTTAAAATATGTGGGGTCAGTCTATATCAAAAAAGATAATTGAGTCAATCTGTTTTTTTATCAAGGGGTTGAATAAGTTGTTTTGCCTGCTCACTTTAACCCTTTCTCCATCCCCATTGAGATGTCCGGAACATTGTTGACACTTCCTTTGACATGTTTTTAAATGGACATATCGGTGAATATAGGTTTTGTGTATATAGGTTTCTAAACCTTCTTAGTGGATATATTACTAAAAGTTAGTTTGCAGACTGTCAATAGAATGTTAGTGCACACTATAATGCCAACTCAAAGAATATAGTGTTGCTGTAATTAGTATCACTAGTTTGTGAGTGACAGTAGGCATTCTGTAATTTTTTTTCATTTGTGCAAAGATTATACTGCTGAAATAAGTGTCACTAGTATGTTGAGGGATTAAATTGTCATTAGGATCATTGAGTTGCAGAAGTTTAGGAATAAGTAGCACTTGATTCATGCTAGCAGGTCGTCTCCGTGCTTCATTTTCATTCTTTTCTTTCAATTATTATCTTAAAAATTAATGCATACACATCTCTCTATTTTGTTTTCCATTCTTCGTAAGTTCCCACCTCTTCCAGTTAAATGGCATCTGTTGGCATTTGAACAACATAGGAGCAGTACATTCATGCTAAGTTGAACTACTAATCCTTCTCACTATTTTTCTTCTGTTTCTCATTAAGAACAAAGCATTTGTTGATTACAAAAATGGATCAGGGATTTACCTTAAGTAAGGCAAAAACTAAAAAGTTTTGAGGATATTTGACAAATGCCTCAGACACGTAAAAGGTCTTAGTGTTTGCACGACCTCAAATAAAGGAAGATCACACTCACCCGAACTTTGTCGGAGGTTTAAATCTTGGGAACTTCTTAAGTATTGCTTTGTCCAAGACGTCCAAATTAGGGCCATGAGACACATTCCTGTAGAACAGTTCCATATTCACTAGAGAAAAACCTCAATGCATGATGACTGTAGAATGCTTAGCTTGTTGGAGATTATCTGTTTGTGCTTTCATGTAAATCTTAGTAATAGGGTAGGAGAAACAAAAGATCGCAGAAGTTTATATTCTTTTTGTAAAATGTTGGTGCAAAGAGGGTGGTTTGCTGGGAGTCCGAGTGAACTGAAAAGGGTAGTAAGAGGTAATATGAGGCTCCCTTCTACTCTTTTCTTCCCCCTTTTTTCATGAGGCTACCTTCTGCTTTCCAAGTTCACATTTGGAGTTGGATTAGATAGGTCATATCTGAAGAAAATTGGGTCATTGTTATCTTTTCCTATGCTTATTTGTTTATCACTTTGTACTAACAATTTTAAAGGCTCATCTCTCGAGATCTGAAATACAATGCAAGAGTGATAATTGATTAAAGCATAATCCATGCATTTTTTTTTAAAATGGAGCCCGGTTGATCATTTCACTTAAACATCATTCAAAGCTACCGTGCATTCTTAATTTGTGATGGGAGCTCACTTTTTCCTTCTTGATCTTATTAGAGCTATGCTTCTTGAGTTGTGGATGCTAGTATTGCTTCAAAACTTTAGTTTTGACGTAGTTGAACTCCACTATGGCTAATTGCCAGTAGTCTGTGCCCCAGCAAGTGATCACATTTTGCCATGTTTGGGTACTGGCAGTAGTAATTGTTGTCTCAACGACAACCATATTACTGCAAGATTGAGATTCCTTTTAAAAAATTCATTTTTGCTGTGTATCTGACTTATTGAGTATGTTGTTATGTGCAGCTGGCATGACAAAGCCATGCTTTTTGAGCAATATCACTGGAAGAAAGCTCTCAAGAAAAATCAGGACTATGAATTTAAGGTACTCGTGGTTCTTAGGTTTCTTATGTTATGATTATGTTAACTCTTATGCGCCATAAAAGGAAGATGGCTTTTGTTCCAATGCTTTTTGTTTCAAACTAGGATGAAATTACTGGATTTATGTTTCTCATTTGAGTTTCACATTTGTTGCAGTGGAACCAGTACATGGATAAAGATGCCCGAGACTCGTACTACTTCAATTGGCCTGTTTACTTTCCATAAGTTTCTCCAATGTATCAGCATGCTGCTGTTTCCTTTTGAAATTTCTGTTGATACTATGAATTCAACATTTTTAGCCTCTGAAAAGTTTGGTGATATTCCAAGTGCTGCATATGATTGCTTCCCTTAGTTTTCTCTAATTATTGGTATTGCTGGTCTTCCTATTTGAACTTCATACTACTGTGTCCTTGAGTTCTACTTGATCTTGAGATGACAAAAGAGGTGAACGATCCATGTCCAGAAATTCAGAGTATTCTCTCCCCAGCCTCTATCTTTACGAGAGGTAGGGGTAAGGTTTGCGTACACATTGTCCTCCTCAGACCTCACTTGTGGAATTACGATGGTTATGTTGTTGTTATTTGGTACTCAAATAGTGTTTCAACCCTACAAAGAGTGGATAACTAGACTACAATTTAGTCCTGAAATATAGTTACTACAAAGCACCAACATTGGAATATGTTTCAGTCTTCTTTTTTGCAGATTTTTCTGCAACTCCTCTGGTTTACAAAGTACTTCAGGAACACCATTCTGGTAGGCGTTTGGACATGCGATTTGGAATTTATATCATGATTTCAAATCTCAAATTCTTAAAAAACAAAAACAAACAGGATCTTTGGGTTTCCAAATTGTGACTTCAAAATCTTTTAAATGTAAAACTTGACTCATAAGTTTATATTTTGTTAAAAAAAACTGATCATTTTAAATTTTGCGAAAAAAAGTTAATGCTCAGCGTGAAAAAAATATCTGTACCATCTTTATGTGTATTTAAAAGTTTGTAATTTATAAAAGAAACATGTAGATATGTGACTTATCAATTTTCCACATATCATGTATAGGACTACAAAATTTAAAAACATTTTGATACATTCTACGTACCTTTAGTTTAAGATTACAAGAGATTCAAATATTTTCTTTACTTTCTTAACTTCCGTGTCAAGTCAAAATCAGATAAATCATATGAAACACAGGAAGTATATTATATATGTTCTCTATAATAATATTTTGCTATGGAGGTTAAAAAAATTGATCTTGGACAAATGAATATTATGATCAACTTAGTATAGGGAACATATGAAGTTCCTAAGAGAGTTCAATATTTATTTTGTCACCTGCAATTCCTAATGTAATTAAATCACTTGTATGACTTTTTCCACAATTATTGCTAGTCTTCTTAGTTGTCATGCATTGTCAAAATCAAGATGCACTCATAATCAACTTTGGATTTATTTTTTAACAACTATTGCTAGTCTTCTTAGTTGTCATGTATTCTCAAAATTAAATCAACATGTATTCTTAATCATCTTTGGAGATATTTTTAAAAATTGATCAAATTTTGCTGGAATTTAAGTTGACTAGTTCTTTGTCTAATTCTGTCTGAGCCTAATTTTCAGTTATCAATTCCTGATAAATTTGTTGAGAGAAGAGTCAAAAACACATTTAAAAGAATTTAGATGTGCGAGTTTTCTATCTGAACGATGGTGATATTTTAGGTCGAAAAAAGGAACAACGGATAGTTGAGGTGTGTTTTGATAAATAATTGGTGAATGATGGTTCAAGTCGAATAATCAAGATACTTTAAATAAAATGTATTTTGACTATTGATTCTCTTTTCTTACACCTTTTCATGATTGTGTCTTTCATATACTGAAATATGGGCACACTGATTTGCTTCCCTCTAGACATGTCAAATTGTGGCTTTGTTGACCGCAATAAATATCGATAATTTTTTATTTTAATAGTATGTGTAAGTGGATAATGTTGAAAGGTACTAATGGTTATATATGGTTTTAATCATTTTAGATTTTATTCATAGATAAAAGTGTTGTTTTATGATTATTGTTCATGCTTAGAGTGTAAATCATGTAAAATCCATTCAAATATATAATAAAGAGAGTTATCATGAAATAAGAATTACATATTCTAGCGTAACCTACATCAAGAAATTAGTGGTGATTTTTTAATCTCGTAAAATGTGTTGTGATACGAATTACGAGAGATAAAATGCAATAGACCTCTCTCAATTGTGTATTGATCAAAAGGCCGGATAATACAACCTTTTATCAAGGATTGATTATGTCCAGCACATATCTTTCCTATTCCTGACATGCTATGGCATTAGAAGTGGATAGGAGCAGGGTCCAGTACGTATCGTCACAGAACAATAATCATGTCTAAATTTGATCTATTTATTCGACATTCCTCATAATATATATAACATGGTGCATCGTCCATAAAGAGGGTAAAATAAAAATGTGTTAATAAATATGTATTAATAATACAATTAGACAATCACAAACAATTGTATTACTATAGTATGTTATTCTTCATTTGTCCATTCTAATTAAGGAAAGGTTAATAGGTATAATAGCAGAAATGATTACATAAAAGAGGCTTGCTCAAAGTGTTTTCCAACACAATTTATATAAAATATATTAAACTCTCTATTGATACAGTTTTTTTATACATAATCAAACTATTTTTATTTAGCAGTAACTTATCTTATTTTTAAGATTACCGATCCTACCTTGCAATTACCATATGCATTGTATATTAACTTAATCAAATGGAAAAAAATATGCTTATCTCAAATACCCACATCGAGCTCTTACGAGATGAAAGATATGTTTATATATTTTGAATGGTTTTCATCTTTCAATTAACTTTTGAAATTGAATTGCGTCCAAGATTTATTTTTTTAATATGATATCAGAGTTATCTGACTTATCCAAATTCATTGTTTACCCGATATTGATCCCGTTTTCCTTTTCTTGTATTGCATGTTATGTTGATATTGATGTTACTTACTTGATATTTCCCTTTCTCCCCACTTACTGTCTTTTGAATGTTTATTTTTTGTCTTCCAACTAATATCTCACATGAAATCATTAATTAATGTTTTAATGTAAATTCATTTCTTATTCACAACCTAACTCGAACGAATTTCTATTTAAACAATATATTAATTTATAATTATCATTTAAAATGCACCGGGAATATAATATGATATGCTTTTTATGTTGTGACTTTTCCATAATAATAGAACGACTTTATTTTATTATTTATATAAAATGAAAGGTACTATACTATTTCATTCTAAGCAGACAATTCCATGATCAACATTAATACATATACTTTAGAAGATGTAACATTAATAATGTCCTTAAAATAATTAAGTCTAATTGAAGAATAACACAATCAAAGTTTGTAAATTTATTAATAGTTGAGCACAAGGCCTTGCATATATGTAGATTCTTAAATATCTTTTTATCTACTAACATGAGACTTAGTTCGAACATCCAGTAGCAAGAACCTTGTGTAATTCCTCGGCACGACAAGGAAATTCAAGAACACCTTGTTGTTTAAATCCATATTCATCTTCAGCTTGTTTTAATAATTTCAAAAATGATGGATGATTTAGCCAATGCAATTCCACCACAAACCTTTGTGGTTCCTCTTCAGGATTTACTGAAAGAACAACAAAATGTCCTTCTTTTACGTCATTCGGCACCAATAATGTCTCTCCACGTGGCGTTTCGTCGTGGAATTGATCAGTAGAACTAGTAGTAACATTATTATTTGACCTCTTTGTGGATTTGAGAATCAATTGATGAAGATATTGAGCCTTCAATAACTTCCCAATGATCTTGGACTTCACCATATTTTGTGTATATTTGTTGTATATATGGAGTATATTGAATTTTGTTGTGGTTTTTTTTATAGAGTTTTTGAAGGGGATTTATATAGAATATGGTGAAGGTTTATAATTAAGACACAATTTCTTAGGTGATGAGTTTAGTGTTGGGTCCCCATAAAATGTGCCTAAATTTGCAACCAGCTATTTGGTCATATATTGCAACTATTTTGGTCATTTATTGCAATATATGATCCATCTTTTTCTCAATGCACTTTTTCCTATTAGATATTTATGCCTTGTCCTTTTGTTTGCTACCCAATGCACCTTTTTTTTTTTTTTCTTGTTTCAATAAAAAAGGAACTTTGGGTACCTTATTTCGTACGAGTTTAAGTAATATGTATCGTTAATATAAATAATTTTTACCTGAGGTTATTTTTATTTGTTATAACAGAAGATATATCTTCAGTTTTGTTTTGTTTTTTAGAAAAAGGAGGGGATGCCATATGAAGACTTTACAAACTTAAACTCATTTCGTATCGTACAATATGTATGACTATGAAAGTTTCTCCATTAGGGGTTGGTTGTACCAGGGTAAAAATTTATTCATACTAAATATTTATATCATATTAATTAATAAAGGCATGACATGTGTTTATGTAGACTCTTAATTAGAATTTAGAGCATAATCATAGTTAATTGACTTGCAAATTCACCTCATATAATCATTTTAGCCTAATCATATCAATCTAAGTAACTTTTAAATGAATTATTAACTGTCTTTTTATTTACTTAATCCAACTCGCTCATTTGACATCCTTAATTACCTTCTGTTCTTTTTCTTATATATGTACGATCGATCATGTTATTGGGGTCCTTTAGTTTTTGCTTTTAAGTCCCACTTACTTTGTTTATTTACTATATTAGGCAAGTAAACCTTTTTGTCCTTTAGATATAACTTATAAGACCACGTTCATGTGTTTTTCATGTTAACGCGATATAAAGTCATATCAATTTGATAGAATAATTTGTGAGTTAACCGACATGATAGTATATACATTAGGCGAAATGTATACAATGTTAGAGAATGACAAAAGTCCCACATCGGTGGTTAATGAGATGGGTGGAGTTCTTATAAGGCTTGGGCAATCCTGCTCCCTTTGAGCTAGCTTTTGGGGTGTGAGTTAGGCCTAAGACCTAATTTAACATGGTATCAGAGCAGGACCCATCTCACCCGATGTTGGATCCCCCAAAATCAAAATTGCCCACGCACCAAATGCTAAGCACTGGCCGTGAGGTGGGGTGTTAAAGAATGACAAAAGTCCCACATCGGTGGGTAATGAGATGGGTGGAGTTCTTATAAGGCTTGGGCAATCCTCCTCCCTTTGAGCTAACTTTTGGGGTGTGAGTTAGGCCTAAGACCTAATTTAACATACAACATTTGAAGTTTTATCGGAAAAAATAAATGATATAAGTTTGAATGAGATATCACGAGCTAGTGAAAATTAGAAACGATGATAATCGCGATAGCGTAAATGAAATAAGTTTATACGTAGGAATTAAGTAGTTATGAAGATGAAGACAAAGAAAAAGGGAGGGACCTTCTCTTCTAGTTAGCTACGTTTCCTTTTTTTCTTATATTGATATTGATATTACTTAACTTGATAAATCCCTTTCATCCTTTGAATGGGGTCCTTTTAATTTGTAATTCACAAATATCTCAAATGCAATTAATAACTTGTTTCAATCTAAATACATGCAATTTGGCTAAAAGTATATGTTTTTATTACGTTATCGCCTCATATCTTATGTATAAATGTGTTGTTACATCGTTATATTGGATGTTTTTTTAGTGTATTATGACATTCTTATGAACAATGTAACGTCATCGATCACTTCTAAGTTCATAAGAGATTATCTTAGATTTAGAAGCGGGTTTGATCATGTGATCGTGTGAATAGTTTGAATTGCGCTTGCTAGAATTAGTTCGAGAGAATAACTCTAGAAAATTACTACACACCATCACTCGATTATAGAGGGTTGGAGCCCTCTCTCTGAAAGCCCTCTTGATGCGATGAGAAAATGGCTAGTAGAACCAAGGCAAAGTGGTTTATAATTGAATCTCAGAGGCATTCTTATCATTTGGTAGATCCAAGTCCATGGCCTATTTCGGATTGGTCAAGATATATTTGTGTTAAGAGGATATCCACAATTGATAAAGAATAATTTAGTGAGATTATAAATTCACTTTGATAAATCACAATTCTAGGTTTTTACACTTCGATTACAATATTTTATCTCTTAGTTGATGATTTTATTGCTTAAGCATTTTCTAGTTAAGTAATTTTAAACAAAAATCTTAATCTTTAAAACTCAAAAATTGTTCAATTTTTTATTTATTTTTTAGTATTATTGAATAGTTATGGTTGAACCTTAGTTCTTTATGAGATTCGATTTTGGACTTTAAAAATCTATTATATTTGTGACGACTGCTTATCTTATGAGGATAAATTTTGGACATGATTAATATATATGATGGAACTTGGAAAGATACATCTCTTTGCATTTTTCTTTATTTCTACAAATAACATTTATGTTTTTGTTTGTTTGTTTAACATACGCTAAATCGACTAATTTAGTCTTGCACTTCATAGGATCCATTTGAAGGAAGAGAGGTCTTATTTCTATTAAGAATTTTTTTAAAAAAAATTTAGAGTTGCAACTAGATATTTATGGTCAATGATCAAGGAATTACATTCATCCCGTCAAATCAATTGGTGATTATTCTTTCACCTTATATTTTGAACGTCTTACTAATACATATTTGAGTTGTAATTTGAGCATTATATAAGTAATACATGTGACTATTGCGTAGAACCTAGTAATAAGTAGTCTGTCAAAAATAATCCTTGGTGAATATAACGAAAACTTCAAAAGGGCTTAACTCAGTGTCACACTCCTTGCTCTCAAAAACTTGCAAATTGATTCTGTATTTAGCTAAGTCATTTGTCATTGTTTGACTAAACATGAAATTTAAAAATAAAATAAAAAAATTAGAAATTTGTGATCTAATATAAGCTATGAATATCTGTGTAATTATAAATTATTTTGTTAAGGACAAAATAACAAGGTTAAACATAGATTATTACTAAATGTAGGTATTATTCTTTCTAAGACATAATAAAAATGATGTCATATAAATTAAGACAAAAAAATTCACTTTATTTTATTTAACATATAAGATGAAAGGTACTAAACAGACAGTTCCATGATTAACATCATATGGATATAACATTGTCCACAAAATAATAACAATTAACGTTTGTAGATTATTTTACATATATCATTAAAAGTCATAAAATTCAAAAGTACTTTTTTGAAAATTTTTGTAACTGGTCAAACTAAAACACATAAAATGAAACGAAGGGAGCAATACTATTGCATCACTTAGATATCTTTATAGCATCTTGTTGATAACTTAGTTAAACTACAAAAGCACTAGTAGTAAATACATATATTTTTTTCTCAAAAGACTTTAATTACATCTTATATATGTATAGCTTCTTATTAAATTTTTTGATTACCAACGTGAGACTTTGTTCGAACATTCAACAGCAAGAACCTTCTCCAATTCTTCGGCGCGACAAGGGAATTCAAGAACACCCTCTTGACTAAAACCATATTCATCTTCAGCTTTTTTCAATAATTTCAAGAATGATGGATGATTTAGCCAATGCAAATTCACCACAAACCTTTGTGGTTCCTCTTCAGGATTCACTGAAAAAACAGCAAAATGTCCTTCTTTCACATCATTTGGCTCCAATAATGTCTTGCCACGTGGCATTTCGACGGAAAATTGATCACTAGTAGTAGTAGCAGCAGCATTATTATTTGACATTTTTTTGTAATTGAGAATCAATTGATGAAGATATTGAGCCTTCAATAACTTCCCAATGATCTTGGACTTCACCATAATTTGAGATTAATTAATTAATGTTTGATGGTATAATGAAAATTTTAGGATTTGGTTTGTTTTTCTTGTAGAATTTGAGTAGGGGATTTATAGTACTCCATCTATTCCAATTTATGTGGAACTTTTCATTTTTTGAGAATTAAACAGTTTAAGTTTGATCGGAAATTTGTGCATGGAATCTTCCAATTTTTTTGAAATGAATTTTATATATTTGTAAACTACGTAAAAAGTACTATAAGTCACAATAATTGATAATTAAAAATGTTTAACAGATATATGAAAAGCTTACGGTCAAAGATAGACTTGTTTGAATCTCGAAATTTGAAAAGTGCCACGTAAAATAGGAAGGAGGGAGTATAAAATATTGGGTCCCTATTGCATGTGCTTTGCAACCTTTTTGGTCATTGATGCAACATATCACTTTTCCAAACTTTATGTTCTTGTTTTGTACTTGGTGGAAAAAAATTATTGAGTTAGGTCAACTCATATATAAATTTTGATTTTGTACATATAGTACAATTTTTAAGTGAAGGAGGTTTATATTATTCGAAAAACCTCTGTACTCAGAAATTCAATGAATCTTATCCAAAGGTACTTGTAATATGATGTAATGTAGTTCGCTTTGAGTCAAATTAACTACTACACTTTATGCATAGTTTTTTCTTTTTCTTTTTAACTATGAACGTGAGACTTTATTCACACACTTAACTGAGAAAGAAAGTGTTTAGTAATTAGAGGGTTTATGTTCTTTCAAAATAAAAATAAAAATGTTAGGCTAAGTTGATAAACTCCAAAAGTTTCTTAAAAATATTTTAAAAATTGCTGGATAGGTAGTTGCCAGATTAGAAGGAACAGAAAACAAAGCAGAATTAAGAGAAACATGATTAACAAATCAAATTAATGATAAAATGACCTTTCATATATTGCTCACATGAGAAGAAAAGGATATGAAGGAAGGGCCAGTTAGATTTTCCATTTTGGGTGTGTTTGGTATGAATTATTAGATTATACTGGCAGTAGTGGCGGAGTCAGAAATTTCACGAAGCATATCTTTGCTCTTTCAAGGTGTCTGAAACCATTGAGCTACATCAAATTGTTGTGTTAAGGGTATCCAGAATATGTTATTTAACCACTTTATTTAGCATTTTACTTGTATATACGGTATAATTTTTCGATGAATTGGACACCCTGACATGAGTGTAGCTACGCCCTTTTATACAAGTGTTGTATATATAATAAGTCTTAAGTTTTTTCACTATAATGCTTATAGACATCCACGCGTGAACTACTCAATGGAGAAATTTATCCAATAATAATAAAGGAAACGCCCCCAAGGCCTAGCTCAAGTGGCAAAAGGTGGAGGATTTGTGGCTTAGGTCGCAGGTTCAAGCCCCACACCATGCAAAGCGAAGCCCGGTATTTAAGTGGAGAAGGGTAGAGGGGCGGGCCCATTATCCACCGAGTTTAGAAGGCTGTGATTGGTCCAAAGGGTGGGTCACAGACGGATTTCTCGGTTATCAAAAAAAATAAAAAAAAATAAAGGAAACCTCCATAAATTAATATTCGAATCAACTTAGTAATAAACAGTCCACCAAAATTCAGTGTCACATTTCTTGCTCTCAAAAACTTGTAAATTGTTTGCCATTTTATATTATTCTATTTGTCTCAATTTATGTGAAGGTATTGGACTCGACACCTAATTTAAGAATAAAATAAAGACATTTGAAATTTATAGTCTAAAATACATAAATATTAAGATAATTATAATCTGCCTCATTAAGAATAAAAAAAATTAAAATATTAATTATTATAAAATTTAGAAATAAATTATTCTTTTTAAGACAGACTAGAAAAAAAATGTTATATAAATTGAGACATGAAGGTAAGGAAAAAGAGAAGCTTAAAAAAATCCACTTCATTTTTTATTTATATAAAATGAAATGTACTAAGCAGACAGTTGCACGATCAACTTTATATATGTACCATTGTCCTTTAAAGTAATTAAATCCAAAATCATTCTATTTTTTTTTTAAGTTATGAATTTATGTTTATTATTTACAGTATTATAATTTTAATAAAATTACTAAATATGAATTCAATTGACATAGAATGGTACATCCGCCCCTTTTCTTTTGCATGTGCTTTGGTACCTTTTTGGTCTTTTATTGCAAACATATGGTCCATCTTTTTCCCTTGTTCACTTTTCTAAACTTTTGTGTTCTTATTTCGTAATCATTAAAAATATCTATGATTGCGATATAGAGTGTTGAAAAGATGAGAAATTTGTAAATTCGATTATAATATATAATAAACACGTCATTACTATAATGGTTAGGATCTACAAATTAGACAAAATTATTTGCATACATAATGTGTAAATATGTCATTATGAATGTTACAACGATGATAAATTTCAACATTAATTAATATGGTGACTAGGGTCTACGGTGAGAGAATTCCTTGTATCTATCTAAAGAAGATTCTTAGGTTGTGGAAACAAGGGGATTCATCTCGACAACCAGTGACATAAGTTGTGATTGCTACAAATTCACTTTCGTAAAAGTAGAAACTTGTAAGTCTCCTAAACTAATATTTCCAGATATAACACTGTGTACTTTTTTTATTGAAAAAATTACATCAAATGACAAACATCTAGAGTATATTATGTAATGTAGCTATAGTTTCGATTATTTTTAATTAGTGGCTACAGTTTCGCGAAATTTTGCTATTCGGTTTCCTAATTGTATAAATCCAGAATTTGTATAATTCGGTCCTTGATTGTATATATCCAAAATTTGCATAATTCGGTTTCTGATTGTATAAATCCAGAATTTGTATATGATTACCCTAGCTATTTGTATACGATTTATGAAAAATTCATAATAAATTACTATGTTTGTATATTGACAAACGAAATATACAAACGGAGTTCTGAAAAATTCCTAAATGTATAAATACAGAATTTGTGTATACTTACCCTGTTTGTGTATTCACTAGCGAAATGGGCAAGCGAAATATACAAATTGCAGCCTCCGTTTGTATATATTTACCATGTTTGTATATTTGCAAGCAAAATATACAAACCGCAACCTCCATTTGTATATAATTATCATATTTGTATATATGTTTGCAAGCGAAATATACAAACCGCATCTTCCATAGCAAACAGAACTATAGCTATGGAGTGCAATTATCGAAACTATAGATATAGAGCCTTATTATGTCTATTTGTCTTTGCTATTTCTGAAAAATTCTCTTCTTTATTTCAATTTATGGTGTCTTACTTTTTTTCTTTTTTTCTGTCACAAAAGGAATAATTTTTATATTTTAAAAAAAGTTTAACTTAAACTTCTTATATTTTTAGAATTTAACTTTAAAATTAAGAGTGTGTTAGGCTGAGTGGATAATCTCCAAAAGTTTCTAAAAAATATATTGCTAAGATTTGGTAGACAAGAAGTTGGCAGATTCAAATGCATATTCCTCCTTCAAAGGGAACAGAAAATAACAAAATAGTTTTAAGAGAAAAAGATCTTTTTATATATATTGCTCACAGTACTTGGTGAAGACAAATATATGAGAAGAGGGCCAGTTAGATTTCATTTTCTTAAACAATTAATCCTGTAACTAAGGTCCCTTAATGTTTGGGTTTTTGCCCCACACGGTCATCCTAACTTGTAATTAACAACTTGTCTTAATTCAAATTAAGTAAAACTTTAGTTTGGACTTTGTGTGGTATAACAACAACAACGTATCAAATGAAAATTCCACAAATAGAATTTGAAGATAGTAGCATATACACAGACTTTATCCTGATGTAGAGAGACTGTTTCTCAAAAACATTTTAGCTTAATTAGCTCGAATATTATACATGTATGTTTTTAAACAAAAACGCTAATTTTCAAACTCATAAATGATTAAATGAATTGTGATAAAATTTCGAACTGAAATCCATGAAAAGTCAAATCTTCAACTCAAGAGTCTAAAATTTTGTACCAAAAAAAAGTATTCAAGAGGTCAAGTCATAGTTTGCCTTTTTCCGTATTGTTTGGACAATAATTGGTTCCATATCTTTTTCTTCTTTTTTTCTTAAGAATAACACAGTTATTCACTCAACCTTCTAAATTAAAAATAATCAACAAATATGTAATATATGTATATTTACCATTGTGTATCGATAAAATATCGAGGGCCTCAATTTATTGCAGCATACTTTCCTGAACTACCATCTGTCACGTGATAAGAAAATGAACCTTGAGCGTAACTCAGCTCCTTAAACAAGCTCACGAAGTGAAAATTGTCCACATTTCTCATCGATCACAACCGATGTGGGGATACTGAAACTACATAAAAGTAAATCTTACAGAATGTTTTAGCTGTGATGGAGTAAAGCTTCCAGTCTACTCATCGTCTTTGATTTGCTTGGCAAACTGCAGCCTCGAGGATCGATGATTCACCGATGAAATCTGCAGAGTAATAATCCTGGTTTTCTATCCTAGACAAAAGAACTAAGTTAGTCAATCAGATTGATAGAAAACTCAACAACATATCCAGTGTAATCCCACCAGTAGTGTCTCGGGAGGGTAATGTGTATGCAGACCTTACCTCTATCTTGGGAGGTAGAGAGATTGTTTCTGATAGACCCTCAGATAAATTAAAAACTCATAAGGTGAAAAAAAATTGAGAATATGCATGTTCGCACACATAACAACAAGAATAAGAGGCCATAGGAAGAACATACTTCTCAAATATGGAACAAATTAGTGCAACAGTTTTCTTCACACGAAGTTGGATGACATAGCAACGAAGTTGAAAATTTTAATACGCGATGACTAGAACATGTATCGAATTCTCTTCACTAGTTTCAGAAAAGATATTTTAGCTAATACCATTAGGATTATGTTCTCTTATAATTCAATAGCACATTTCTGTGAAATTCAGTGATGAGTTTCCATAGAATTCATACGACTATTTCAGAGCGATTCCTAAGAAGTTAATTTTTCTCTTCCGTGATTTCAAACCACATCCCTGAATCTTTCTCTACACCCTGGTTCATATTCTGCATAAAGATCTGGAATTGCATATTCTTAAAAAATAAGAAATCATGTGGTCTATAACTTAAAACTGCGAAGCTACTACATAATAGGCTCAAAAGTTCTATAATTCCGGACCAATGTGCCAAGCAAAGTATATATATGCCCAAAAACATCAGAAGCAACAAATCCTCGAATTGTTATTTAAGAATTCAACATATAAACATATAGCTGAAGAGATTTCAAAGAAGCTAGAATAACAAGTACATTTGGCTTTAACATAGAAGGCGACGTAAGTTACCATACTTGGAGCAGAGCAAAAGTATAAGATAATCTCCCTCCTCAACCAAGGGTGGATCCAGGATTTTAGTTCTATGGGTTCAACCTTTAAGGTTCTTAGTTGAACCCATAATATTTTTATGGATATGAGCTCATATCTTCCTTCTTTTTTTATGACCGTGGTGTTCGGGCCAGCTTTCGTGCACCTCGACTAATTTCATAGGACACTTGCCACCTCCCACCAACAACAGGTGCAGGTAACACTGTACCCTAGGAATTGAACCTGAGACCTCATGGTTCTCAACCACTTAATTGACCAATAGGCCACACCCTTGGGTGCGTTATGAGCTCATATTTATTATTTGTTGCAATGTAGTAAAGTTTTACGCATAAAGGTTAAGATGAAACCGGTAACATTAAGCTGCATCTGCCCATAGGTTCAAGTGTCTGTAGAAATGGATCCAAAATAATGGCTAAAAGGAACTGTAATTTGAGTATATAGTTTTAATTTCTTAGGTAACATGATTCATTAAACAAAAAAAACACTACAGTACCCTCACCAAATCTCGGTTTCTTTGACAGCATAATTGTTTTTGTGCTAGCATTATCTTATTCTTCGGTTTTGTTAGTACTGTTGTTTCATTTATTTTGGGTATCTACACTGTTTTATTGTCAATACTTTTCTTTCTTCATTATTTTCATCATTACCTTTTACTCTTGCTCTTTTTGCAAATCTGTTCTCAAGCCGAGGGTCTATTGGATACAACCTCTCTACCCCCTCAAGGATAGAGGTAAGGTCTACGTACACCTCACCCTTCCCAGACCCCAAATGTGGGACTACACTGGGTATATTGTTGTTGTAATATAGTGGCCAAATCTCTCCGTCCACATGGGCCTGAAAAGATGCGCAAACAGTTGTGGAACCTTCGCCATATGGAATGTAATGGTCTTAAGTAGAGGCTTGAGAACCTCCCAAAGCCACAAACCCCACTCCATCACTTACCTAAGTTGTTTGAACTCGGATGCGAGTGTCCGACACGGGTGCTAATCTGAGGTTCGGATTCGGTAAAATCTAAATTTTATGATTTGAGGGTATGATCCAGGTATGGGTGTTGGAATTCTACTAAAAGAAATTCAAAATTATAAAATAGAGCTACAAGGATATTCTAAATTTTGAGAGATACTGTGTGGATATAATATTGAGACAAAAGGACTATAATATTGAAGGTATGCCATTTCCCATGTCTTACATCTGTTATACCTTTCATTTTGAGAAATCAAAATCTCAATTTCCCCCCTAATTTGTTCATGGGTCTGGTAACAATATCTGATGTGGATTGACCTCATACCACACGAATCCCACACCCACACTAGCATTGTTTCGACACAGGTTCGGAGAGTCCACAACACTTGGTCAGTTACTCTAGTAAATGTAGATGGTAAGATAATGCTAAAATTCAGAAGGCAATAAGCAAAAGCACAAGCGCACAGTAATGAATCAGTGAATGTAAGCATAACATCAATAAGAACATGTAACAATAAAATCCTTAACATTTCAAAGACCTTGTGTGTACAAACATGATATACTTAGAACCACTTAAACATGTAGCAAGAGCAAGTTAGAGAAAACAGAAAACGTGTTGGGCTTAGTCTTTACCAAAAGGCTAGCCTATGATCAAGCAGTTTGTTTGCGTTCAAACCCACTTCCGGGGTCATCATCACAGGGGACCACATCTAGTCCAGTGACAATAGCAGATGGTGGACCTCTCCGACACCTCTGCTCCATTTCCTGAACTTTTTCCAGGCTTCCAGAAAACAAAGCTTCCACCGATCCATCCCTCCGATTTCGAACCCAACCTTTTAACCCCAATTCCTTAGCATTCTCCACAGTCCAGTCCCTGTAAAACACCCCTTGCACTCTCCCCTTAATCACAGCTCTAACCTGCAACCACAACACATAAGTAACCGAAATGCATGAAAATATGAACACTCATTACTGAAAAAACACCTTAAAAGTCCCATATTTTTAAAGAACTTCAACTTAAAACCACAGCTACCTTGCACACACAACACACAAATACCTAAAATCAAATGATCAAACAACCATAAACAACAAGTAGCTCAAAGTCTCCTCATTTTAAAGATTTTCAACTGAACCTAGAGCAAACCTGCAGCAGCAACAGAAAATATACAGAACAATCCGACAATCATCCAAGAAAGCTCTATTAAGTATTATATTGCACAGCTCATGTATTGCATTGTACAGCTCACATAGTTAGTTATAGAATTGGTTAGAGAGTTAGTTAGCTCATGTATTCAATGTGTATAGTTAGTTAGCTCAAAGTGTAATAGTCTAGAAGCTTCCAGCTGATGTGTATATATACTTCACTGATGAAATAGAATCATTCAAGCTTTGCATTCTACAAGTTATCTTTTCTACTCTGCTTCTTTACTGATTGTAGTCAAGGCTTCCATTGTTTCAAACTCGAACAGTGTTAATGCATCAGTTTTGATATGGTATCAGAGCAATCTCGATTCTGAGGTACTCATCCTTTTATGACCTGATCTGTGATTGCGTAGATCTCCTTTTGTTGTTCGTTTTCTCCTTCTCTGCTCATCTATGGCGGCGGATGCTACAAGTTCTGATCAATCTGGTGGTTACACCAACAACACAATTGATTACAATCACCCTCTTTATATGGATCCTTCTGATAACCCCGGAGCAATGCTTGTACCAGTTCAATTTGCTGGAATTGGTTTTCGTTCCTGGAGGCGTAGTGTTCTGAGATCACTTTCAGTGAAGAACAAGTTGGGCTTCATTAATGGGGATTGCCCACGCCCTCAATCCAATGACTCATCGTACAGACAATGGGAAAGATGTGATGATATCGTTACCTCTTGGATCCTGAACTCTCTATCTAAGGAAATTGCTGATAGTGTTGAGTATGTCCAGGATTCTGCAGAATTATGGAGAGAACTTGAAGATCGATATGAACAAACAAATGGTGCGAAGTTGTATCAGATCCAAAGAGAAATTAACGACTTGTCACAAGGCTCTCTTGATATCACATGTTACTACACCAAATTGAAGAAGCTCTGAGAAGAGCTTAGTACTTTGAATGCCAAAGCTCAATGCACTTGCAACTGCACTTGCGGAGCAAAGGCACTTGTTCACAAAGCAGAACAAGATAGAAGGTTAATCCAATTTCTCATGGGGTTGAACGAGATTTACACAGTTATTCGTGGGAGCATACTTATGATGAATCCGCTGCCTACTATGGCTCAGGCCTTTTCTCTGTTAGTCCAGGATGAACACCAGAGGGAAATTAAGCCTTCTAACCATTTTAATGTAGAAGCTACTGCTTTACATGCTGGAAACGTCAGGCCTTCTTCATCAAATGTCAGGCCTTCTTCATCCTACAAGACAAACTATGCTCCTACTGGTGGTCACTCTCAGCTTCAATACAAGGACAAATTCTGCACTTACTGCAACAGGACTGGTCATCTTATTGAGAAGTGTTATCAACTCCATGGATATCCAACTAATTCAAACAACCCAAGCCCAAATCAAAGAAACAATCCAACTCCGAGGCCTAATACTTTTCGCAAGGGAAATCAGAGGACCAACAAAGGATCTGGCAATAATGTTGTAGCAAATGCTAATTGCACACCAGACTTTACCCCTGGCAAAAGATTAGATGAGGAGATGTACAATGTGAGCCTTACCAAAGACCAATATGGTCATGTTCAAGGCATGCTTCAGCAATTCCACAGGGAACATGAGAATGAGGGATCCAACAACAATCCAAACCTTGCTAATGGACCAGCAACTGATTTTGCAGGTATCATAGTCTGCACTTCCTCTATTGATTTTGGAAAACTGTCATGTAATTGTTTCAAAAACAAATCTGACTCATGGATATTGGACTCGGGAGCCTCAAACCACATGACCTTTAATATGTCTCTACTACACAACATCACACTTTTACCATATCCTTTGTTAGTTGCCTTGCCTAATGGATACAAAGTTAAGGTGACTCAAGTTGGTAGTGTGACATTAGGGCCCATGATCAATTTAGATAAAGTTCTGTATGTGCCATCTTTTAAATATAACTTGATTTCTATTCATACTCTGACTGTTCACTCAAAATACACTGTTAGCTTCACCAAAACTTCTTGTTTCATGCAGGCCCCTTCAATGAAGAGGCCTCTGGTGATTGGTAGTGCAGAAGAGGGTCTATACTTCCTGTGTCCAAGTTGTTTGAAGAACTCTTTCAATATTTCGAAATGTAGTAGTGTCATTCCAAATAATTCTTGCAATAACTGTAGTAACAGACAGTCTATTCAGACTTTAGATAACAAGCAATGTACTCCTATTCTCAATAAAGAAATGTCATGTTCTATTCCATGTCCAGTTTCTTGTACTTCTAGTTCTCAAACATGTGCTGGAAATCATGTAGACATTGTGTGGCATAATAGATTGGGACATGTCCCTTTTGTCAAAATGAGAGATATTTCCACCATCCCTGTGAAGTTCTCAGCCAAGCAACCTTTTATGTGTTCCATTTGCCCTATGGCAAGACAAGAAAGACTACCTTTTAAACCACGAACCACACTAACCTCACACACTTTTGAATTACTTCATGTTGACTTGTGGGGGCCTTACCATACACCAACACATAACCATTTTAAATATTTCATCACCATTGTGGATGACTTTAGTAGGTCCACTTGGACTCAGTTGTTAAGTACTAAGAGCAATGCTTTACAAACTCTCAAAGCCTTCATTGCTATGGTAGAAAACCAATTTGAAACCACTGTCAAAACAATCAGAACAGACAATGGTCTGGAATTTATCAATACAGAGGCAACTTTTTTTTTTCAAACCAAAGGTATACTTCACCAGAAAACTTGTCCCTACACACCACAACAAAATGGTGTGGTGGAGAGAAAACACAAACACTTTCTTGAGACTGCTAGAGCACTGTTGTTTCAGTCCAAACTTCCTGTTAAGTATTGGGGAGAGTGCATTCTCTGTGCAACATACATAATAAATAGGCTCCCATCCACTGTGTTGAACAAAAATTGTCCCTATGAAATTTTATACCACAGAAAACCCCTCTACTCACACATGAGAAGTTTTGGATGTCTTTGTTATCCTACTGTACCCATACCTCATAGAGCTAAGTTTGAACCAAGAACTACTCCTCACATTTTCATTGGATATCCTCATCAGACAAAAGGGTACAAAGTCCTAAATATGTCTACAGGTAAGATACATATCTCCAGAGATGTTGTTTTTCATGAAAATATTTTTCCTTTTAATAATACCCCCTTCAAATACAACTGTTTCACCTATTTCATTGTTGCAGTCACCTTATTTCATTGATATTTTGGATGTTTTTGTTAAAAATGGCACATAGGATACTCTAAATAGTTCAAATGGTCCTACTGCTACATGTGACTTGTCACCTAATCCCTCTGCATCCATGCCTTCCCCATCTGTACCTCCTGCACCCCTATCTGTTAACCAACCTCATGCTCTCCAACAAATTGAACCTAGGAGATCCACTAGTTGTCACAAACCTCCAAAACATTTGAATGATTATGTTCACTCTATACCTCAACTTAAACCATCTGTTCCTCAAAACTCAAACACCAACCCTTCCCTCCAAGCCCTTTTCTCTAATCACCACCACTTGGCTCATAGTGCTCTAATTCCTGCTAGTCAAGATATTCTTAGAAATGTTTGCATTGACAGATAACCGACTTCATATGAGGAAGTTGTCATCGATCCTGCATGGCAGCTAGCCATGACACAAGAGTTTGATGCCTTGCACTCAAATTGCACTTGGGATTTAGTTCCCCTTCCCCCTGGGAAGAAAGCTATAGGCTGCCGGTGGGTCTATAAGGTGAAACACAAAGCAGATGGGAGCATAGAAAGGCTCAAGGCCAGGCTTGTTGTCAAAGGTTATACACAGCAAGCAGGCATTGATTATACTGAAACTTTTTCCCCTGTAGTGAAAATGACCACAATCAGGGCCTTATTAATCACAGCAGTTAAACAAGGGTGGACTATGTATCAGCTGGACATAAATAATGCCTTCCTTCATGGTGATCTACATGAGGAAGTGTACATGGACGTACCACCTGGACTTGCAGTCCAGTCTCCTAATTTGGTATGCAAGTTGAACAAGTCCCTTTATGGACTCAAGCAGGCTAGTAGGCAATGGTATGCTAAGCTCACTGAAGCTTTATGTTCTAGGGGATATGCTCACTCTATGTATGACTATTCTCTCTTCTACAAGAAGAAAGCAAATTCAGCAGTTTATGTGGCTGTGTATGTTGATGATATAGTTCTTATAGGTACTGATGCTGATGAGATAGCAGACCTGGAAGTTTATCTAGACAACAAATTCAAAATTAAGGATTTGGGATTACTTCACTATTTTTTGGGCATGGAGGTACTTCACACAGATCAGGGAATTATTGTCTCACAAAGAAAATTTGTGCTTAACTTACTAAAGGAGTATGATTGCTTGCATCTGAGCTCCTTATCTTCCCCTCTTGATCCCAATACCAAGCTGAGAGCTAAGGAAGGTCCAGTTTTAAGTGATAGTACTTTCTACAGAAAGTTAGTTGGAAAACTTAACTTCCTTACAAACACAAAGTTGGATATTGCTTTTAGTGTTCAACACTTAAGCCAGTTTATGCAGGACCCTAGAGAGCCACACTTGCAGGCTGCTTTTCACCTCCTAAGATACTTGAAGTCTGATCCTACATTGGGTTTGTTTTTGTCCAAAGATGCAGATTTTTCTATGAAAGGCTATTGTGATTCAGATTGGGCCTCATGTCCAGATTCCAAGAAGTCTGTGAGTGGATTTATAGTATTGCTTGGGGCAGTCCAATAAGCTGGAAGTCAACGAAGCAAGAAACCATCTCTCTATCATCAGCAGAGGCTAAATACAGATCACTCAGGAAAGTAGTAGGTGAATTGGTTTGGCTAAGTCGACTGCTTACTGAGTTGGGTGTTCCCTATCCAAAGCCTATTTCGGTTTTTTGTGATAGTCAGTCTGCACTACACATTGCCAAGAATCCTGTTTTTCACGAAAGGACCAAACACATCGAGGTAGACTGTCACTTTGTGAGACATGTCTTACAACAAGGACTTATCTCATTGCATCATATTGCTACACAAGACCAGTTGGCTGACATATTGACCAAAGCCTTAACAGGAATCAAGCACTCTTCTATCCTTGACAAGTTGGCAGTGTTATCTTCACCTCCAACTTGAGGGGGGGTATTAAGTATTCTATTGCACAGCTCACATAGTTAGTTATAGAATTGGTTAGAGAGTTAGTTAGCTCATGTATTCAATGTGTATAGTTAGTTAGCTCAAAGTGTAATAGTCTAGAAGCTTCCAGCTGATGTGTATATATACTTCACTGATGAAATAGAATCATTCAAGCTTTGCATTCTACAAGTTATCTTTTCTACTCTGCTTCTTTACTGATTGTAGTCAAGGCTTCCATTGTTTCAAACTCGAACAGTGTTAATGCATCAGTTTTGATAAGCTCAAAACCTCATCCTTTTGAAGAATTTCAATAAAAATCACGGCTAACAAAGAGACAGAGCACAAACCAAGAAAAATCTGACAATAAGAGAACAATAGATGTGAATCTCATCTCTATTAAGAATTACACATGAAAAAATTCAAACTAACTTGCAGCCTCCCTACCTTCACAAGGTATGGTTAAGGCTGCCTACACACCAACCTCCCGAAGACCCCACTTGTGAGATTACAATGTTGTTGTTGTTGTAAGCTAACCTGCAGCCATAGCACCCCAAACCCCAGAAATAATCAAACACCAATTTCCTAATAAACGCTCAAAAAGCCATCTTTCTCTTAACACCAATTTTCTCTTTTAATGAATAGAGTGTTTGGTAGATTATATCATTCTCCTGTTACCATTAACAAGCTCAAAATAACATCTTGTTAAGTAAAAAACGAAAAATTCACACCTACTAACACATAAATATCGAAAAGTCAGAAGCTATCAAACACCGCCATAGCACACACAAAATGTCCTAAACCCACAAATCACCAAACACCCATTTCTCAAAATTACATCTTTTATCACCAATTTGAATTGAAAAAACGAAAAGGGAAGTTAAGACCCAGAAATCACCAAACACCCACCTCCCAAAAGAAGCTCGAAATCGAAAAGGGAAATGGGGAACTCACCGTTTTAACATCAGGGTTAGCATCGGAATTTAAGGAAGACATAGGAGATGAAATGAATTTGTGCAGAAACGGAAGAGATGAACCTCGACCAACACGAAGAGGTAGTAGTAACAGAGGAAGCTGAAATGAAGCTCTTTTTACACCTTTATATGAATCAACAACATTATGGTTATGCATAATAAACGAGATTCTTGATCTTGTTTGCCATTGCTGCAATGGTGGGTCTAGATTGCTCTTGTTAATCTTCGTAATAAAATAGGATTTGAAGAGTGAATTTGTGAAACGACGAGTGATTCTCTCTGTAGAAAAAGATAGAGATGTTGAAGCTACCACCAATGCCATTCGATTCGTATTCCTTCCACCATTCTTTTTTGTTCTAGATTTAACGCAAGAGGAGACATGGTGGGAAGAGCCTGGTTGAGGCAAACAGGGCTTGTGTAATGGTTGGTTCAATTCGATTTTAAAATTTATTGGTTGGTTTTTATGGTTATTAATTTGAAGATATGTTAAATCGTTATATAACTATTAATATATTAAGCCTTCGCATATAAATTGTTATTAATTTAACCTTTAAGATTTGAAAATTATTTAGAAACAAGTTGACAAATCAAATGAGCATGAGTCGGACGATTATATTTTACTCAAAAGCAAACACGAACACATTCTAGAATAACCAAAAGTTTCAGACAATCAGAAATAAAAGTATAAAACTAAATCCGAGATCAGCAACTTTATGTACCAAATGGTATAAATATAATTAATTAATTTATTATCGAGTTATCGATTAACTTGTTAACAAAAAACCTCAAACCGTTAAGAAAAGGTAATCTAATAATTAAAAAATATTGTTACCTAAACCGCTAAATCAATAACACTTTATCAATAATCAATAATTTTTTCGATTTGGGTTATCAATTTTGAACAATCCTAGTTTTGATTTGGGCGTTCAAAGAGCTTTTCTACATCCATTCCTAAAAAAAATGATTCGAACTCAAAGGCTTGTGATTAAGAATGAAAAAATATTTTATAGCGCTACTACTTTCGAAACAAATTTTTTCTCATGTGGTCAAGTTTGAAATTAACTCATAATTTGATGATTCATTTGGTCTCATTTCACACTCTTTAATACCTAGTTCTTTTCAAGCATATTCACGTTTGACCTTGTATTTTTCACATTTTAATATTTAGGTTTTCACTCAAATTAAAAATATATTAAAATATATACAAGTCAGGTGTATCTATATAAACCTAGTCAATATATTTGTACAAACATTAGTCTCATAAGTCCAACATGATATTTTTTTTCTTTGGAAGCATGTACGTAGCTTTATAAATTATTTTATGTAGTTTAAACGTTCTTTTTAGTTTGCTAAAATGAAATTAAATCTTATGAAATCATGCAATCAATGATATGATGCAATGATGTTGAAGATATAAACATGATAAAATAAAAAATCTAAATTAAGGTAACAATTAAACTAAAAATCACAAGCTCAATCAATGATCAGAAGCATTTAAAATTTATTTTAATTAAGTTAACATGTCTGAATTGAACTCCCATAAAATAAAAAAGATAAAGAATGTCAAATAAATATAAGAATGAGTGTTTATTAAATAGCCTTTGATTAATTTATTTATTTTTTTGATAAAGTGTAGGCCTTTGATTAATTAAGGTATAAAAATTATAATACTCAATACAAATGGAGTTCAATGGTCTCTAATCTCTATACTGACCAAAAATTTCTACGGTATTTTCACCATAAACTTTTATTTTTGTATTTAATAAATCTATTTTTAAGAACCTATTCTTGAATTGAGAATCAATCAAAAACAGTTTTTTTACCTCACACAAGGTATATCTGCACTCATTCCAACCTCCGCATATGTTGTTTACCTTCGACATGGTTGCACTAAGAGGTCGTTGGGTAAAGCGCATTGGCAAAAATAAAGCATGCATTAACTTTAAACGTATAAATACATCAAGGATTTGATTATCAAAAAGATATATTATTTTGTTTTCGTTTAGGCAATTGATCAAACAGTTAGCCTACATTCAAAACCCGGCGCCAAATCTTCATCACAATCGTTAACATCCACGCCGGTGACTTTCGCCGCCGGTGGTCCCACCCAACACCGGCGTTCCATTTCTAGAACCTTCTCAGGACTACCGGAAAACATGGCTTCCACATTGCCGCCGTCCTTTTTGTTCCTAACCCAACCACTCAAACCCAATTCCGTCACATTATCTACTGTCCAACCCCTATACGAGACACCCTGAACTCTCCCTTTAATTACAACCCTAACCTGTAAATTCGCAATCGATTTTTCATTTTGTTAAGATAACTGGAATTCGAAACGGAGAAGAAGGGAGAAAATGGACTTACAGTTTTCAAATTGGATGTAGAATTGAGATCGGACATTGGTCGCCGGGAAAATAGCTCGATGATTTAGCCGGAGGAAGCAGTGAAGACGATTATGACAGTTGGAGAGTTTGAATCTGGAAATTCGAAAAGTATCATATAAATTGGGACGAGAAGTATTTAGTTTTTTCATTTTTGGATTCTGTTTTGGAATTCAACAATACTTGTCTAGTTTATTAAAGTGAATAAAGAGTATCTATTTTATCTTTGTTGTTAGGGAAAATTTTATAATTGGCATACATAAAACTATTCATTTTTTTAAAAAAATCAATGAATAATGTATTATTTTATATCTATTTACCCCTTGTTGTTATATACTATTTATTTTTGTATATTTAGATGACATATATTTAATAAGAGTGATTTGATAAAATTACATGTATCATTTACTGCTTCTTAATAATTGACAACTATTATTGAACGTATAGAGTAGCAGATGAAAAGAAGCGTAGGAGTGCAAGTTACGAACGTTCAAAATATGGCATTGGTGAATAACATGCCCCATGGTCTAAAGTTCAATTTTATGGTGATTAAACTTTAAAATTTTGTATTAATTACGTAAATTTTATAGTGTCAAGAGCTAATTATATTATTTTTCTAGTCTTTTTAAAATTATAAAAATTCCTTAAAAATTTATGAATTTCGGATACATCACTAGACTTTCGGATACATCACTGGACTTCTGGATACATCATTGGATATCTAGATACATGAGTGAGGGATGTATCTGAGAAGGAATAGGAGATCCAGATACATCACTGGACTTCCGGATACATAGGTGTATCAACGAGAGGAGAGTGATGTATCCGAGAGGGAATTTTTGATTTTTTTTTAAATGTTAGGGAATTTTAGGGATCATTATAAAATAAGATATATATTTAGGTAATTTTTCGTGAAATGTTTGTAAACCTGGGTTATTCTTTAAATAGATCCTAAAAGTTGCTATATGTGCACTTCACTCAACATTAAGCTTTTTGGGTCAACAAATACAATTAGATGGGCTTTACTATTGGATTATGCAGTTGATCTGATGGGCTTTATTTATGTAGGCCCATTTATAACTTTTGCTATGAACCTATAAGAACTCTCCTCTTTTATCTCAATTGATATTATAAAAAATTAAAGTTTAATTTTAGTACAATTAAAGAGTTTATTAAAATAGAAAAATGCTATTTTCATAGAGAAAACATTGACATCAAAATTTAAAATTGCATATGGAAGAGTCTCACATCAAATACTTTTAAGGAATGAGTGGTATATTTAATATAAATTAGATAAAAAAAAAAAACTTAGCTAATTTTTGAGGTTTCGATAATATGAAATCAGGGAAGAACTCATCCCAATTTTCATATATATATATATATCCAATCTTAGGCATAAAGAGGAAGTGTGTGTGAAGAGTCTCAAATCGACTTCTTTAAAGAATGTGTGGTTTCTTTAATCAATTTACTTAACATGACATTAGAGAAGGATTCATTTCAAATTTTATTTTTAATGTTGGGTCATCATATTAAATTGTTCATACATCAGATAAGGGGGTGCGAAGAGTCGCGTATTGGTTTGTTAGTGAGTGGTCTCTATAGTATGTATTTGAGAATCCTCACCTCTTGAGCTAAATTTTTGAGTTGAATTAGAGTCACATATCGATGAGTGGTCTCTTAAAAATATGTATTTGTGCAACTCTTTGATTACTTTCATTTCCATTTTTTTTTTTATTCTCAAGTAAAATGTATGTCCAGACATAACTTCATATCTCAAAAATCACAACTTTCGATAACTCGAAATTTCTAATTTTAACAATTTCAACCTCAAAATTTATAGTCAAACGAGAGTTTAGTCCATAAAATTCTAAAAACCTAAAAAGTCCCAATTTCTAATCCTTCTAGAGTTCTCTTGAAGAAAAGTTGTATAATAAATTAATAGTAATAGTAATTATTCTAATGGATTTTTTAATTTTTTTAAAGAAGGATATGGTGCTGCACACACTTCAGTAATTTTAAAAAATATTTTCTCCAGCCACCAAAAATATTCAACTAATAATCTCAAACTTATCCATATCCAAATAAGCCAAAATGATTCCAAAAAGTCAAAAAAGAAACTATATTAACAAATAAAATAAAATCAAGGCTAGTCATTATGTTTCAAAAAAGTCTTCAATTTCAATCAAGAAAATATAGTCAGAATAATACATTTCTATTTCAATTTCAAAGTCTCTGTTTTTGCCTTGTAAAGAGGGTTTCACACAAAAGCAAAGGAACAAAAAGATTAGCTCAAAATATTAATGTTTTTAGATGGAGGGACAAAAAGGCTACTATTTTATAAATTTCTAATTATAACATCTTATATAGTAACTTTTTAAACACTATGTTTAACAAGTATTTTATATTTTGAAGAAGTCATTATTATTATAACAAGTTTTATGCTAATCTACCAGTCTATCATTCATTAATTTAATCTATTCCACTCTAAACCATGTGTGAATAGTTTAAACTCGAGTTATCTCTCGAACAACTATATCGTTTATTAATAATTAAAATAAATATTCGTATTATGATCAGAAGCAAATTCAGAATTTGAAGACTTCATGCACACCAATGTTATCTTAATTTAGGCGTTAATTAGTGGAACTTTCAAAGACAATTAACGGATAATATCGTGAGTGTTGGCTTGTATCAACAATATCAAGTACGTTCTTCTATTCTTTCCACGGGGTACTGTTACTTATATTTAGTTTCTGTCAGTTTCTCAAGATAGATCGATGTACATATATACACATGATTTTTTCCAAAGTTAATGGGTGTACGTGCAGTACTCCCATTTATACATGTGGGTCTGCCTCTAACTATAAAACGTATTTATGATATATCTTCCAACTACTAAACCACATGCGTTACTAGTTTAACTTGGCCTCATTTATGTCTATTAATTTTGAGTTTACACAAATAAACACTTGAACTTATATAAAGTTAAACAAATAGACGCATCTTATTAAATTCAAGTCATCAT